TTGGATTGAGGTCTGGGCTTTGACTAGGCCATTCCAAGACATTTAAATGTTTCCCCTTAAACCACTCAAGTGTTGCTTTAGCAGTATGCTTAGGGTCATTGTCCTGCTGGAAGGTGAACATCTGTCCCAGTCTCAAATCTCTGGAAGACTGAAACAGGTTTCCCTCAAGAATTTCCCTGTATTTAGCGCCATCCATCATTCCTTCAATTCTGACCAGTTTACCAGTCCCTGCCGATGAAAAACATGGTGGTGTTCTCAGGGGTGATAAGAGGTGTTGGGTTTGCGCCAGACATAGTGTTTTCCTTGATGGCCAAAAAGCTCAATTTTAGTCTCATCTGACCAGAGTACCTTCTTCCATCTGTTTGGGGAGTCTCCCACATGCCTTTTGGCGAAGACCAAAAGGCATGTTTGCTTATTTTTTTCATTAAGGAATTTCTTTTTTTCTGGCCACTCTTCCGTAAAGCCCAGCTCTGTGGAGTGTACGGCTTAAAGTGGTCCTATGGACAGATACTCCAATCTCCGCTGTGGAGCTTTGCAGCTCCTTCAGGGTTATCTTTGGTCTCTTTGTTGCCCCTCTGATTAATGCCCTCCTTGCCTGGTCCGTGAGTTTTGGTGGGCGGCCCTCTCTTGGCAGGTTGGTTGTGGTGCCATATTCTTAATGGTGCTCCGTGGGATGTTCAAAGTTTCGGATATTTTTTAATAACCCAACCCTGATCTGTACTTCTCCACAACTTTGTCCCTGACCTGTTTGGAGAGCTCCTTGGTCTTCATGGTGCCGCTTGCTTGGTGGTGCCCCTTGCTTAGTGGTGTTGCAGACTCTGGGGCCTTTCAGAACAGGTGTATATATACTGAGATCATGTGACACTTAGATTGCACACAGGTGGACTTTATTTAACTAATTATGTGACTTCTGAAGGTAATTGGTTGCACCAGATCTTATTTAGGGGCTTCATAGCAAAGGGGGTGAATACATATGCATGCACCACTTTTCCGTTATTTTTTATTTTTTGCATTTTTTAAAACAAATAATTCTTTTCATTTCACTTCACCAATTTGGACTATTTTGTGTATGTCCATTACATGAAATCCAAATAAAAATCAATTTTAAATTACAGGTTGTAATGCAACAAAATAGGAAAAATGCCAAGGGGGATGAATACTTTTGCAAGGCACTGTATGCTATTCACAAACCCATGGCAAACATCTAAACATCTCAAACAGGTTCAAGGCAGAATTCAATGGATTTTTCTGTCATTCTCTGTTGCTTGCTGCTTTCAGGTAGGGCTTTACCTACGAGCTTCACCTGGGTCTCCTATGCAGACAGCTGTGTAGGAAAGTAGGCAGAGAAGCTCACCAGAGACGTGGCTGGGTGTGAGGAAAGAGGTTCCCCACAACCTAATGAGGCCATTAGAGCCTTGTTAATGTCCCCCTTCTCTGCTTCCTCCAACAGGCAGATGCTACACAGCTTCCCACATGACTTTATTTGAGAAGCTAGTAGCTAAAATCAGCAGAACTAGTACCTGGTTTCTGTTATATTCTGATAGCATATCTGGGCATGTCTAAAGTTAGGAGGGTTTTTAGAAGGCTATTGGTTCCCAATGCTTACATTGCAGTTTATGGAATCCATGAGTCAGTTCAACTGGTGTGAACTTTGATCGTTGTCTTCTTGAACCCATCTGGAGGTTCGTAAATATTTCATTAGTAGGATTCTATCAAAGGTGCAAGCCTTTTATTCCTATGTTGTCCTCTCACGATATGGCCACAATTAAATGTTAGCTCTCAGTGTATTGGAATGAACAGGCCTTCACTGAACACATTTTGTATCAATCGTAAGAAGTGTAAATCATATCATTTTTCTTCATCAATGTTTGCAGCATTCACCAAAGTGTAAACAAACAATTTCCCGAGCTGTAAAATATGTGACCTGCAAATCTCCTCCGTAAACATTCATAGAGTGATGAAGTGCTACTCATGTTCCGCAGCAGGTCTCCAAGGTGAACAGCCTCTGGCATGTTAGAACAAGGTAGGTAAGGGAAGTCGGCAAGTCAGATCCGTAACTTCGGGATAAGGATTGGCTCTAAGGGCTGGGTCGGTCGGGCTGGGGTGCGAAGCGGGGCTCAAGCCCAGAATCAGTGGAAAAGCGCAAATTAAAGAAAGGAAAAGATGGGAACACATACACAAAGAAATAGCCTCTTACACTGACAAGGCTAGTTCGCTAACAAGGGCTGTAAACCCAGCAAGGGGACCGTAAAGAGGAGGGGGCCCAATACCGGAAAGGAACCACACTTGAGAGCAGATTAAAAGGCAAAACAGCAAGCACACCTATAAAGGAGAACACATAGAACACTGTACAGGCATTAAGGGAAAGAACAGCAATAACAGGCAAAAGAGAGTAGAAAATAGATGGCACGGGGCCACAGAAGAAGAGAGAGACTAGTCCCCTGTAGCTCAGTTGGTAGAGCATGGTGCTTCCAACGCCACGGTTGTGGGTTCGTTTCCCATGTGGGGCCAGTATGAAAATGTATGCACTCACTAACTGTATAGTCGCTCTGGATAAGAGCCTCTGCTAAATGACTAAAATGTAAATGTTCAATGTATCAAACAGAGGTTTGTTGATGTTATGCAACTGTCATTTGAATCACCCCCTCAAACATCCCCTTGAAGGCTTCAAGAGTTACTCACCCATATCTGACCAGCTGTATTTGATTCACTAACCCCTCACAGGAATACCTATTGGATCCGAATCAATTTTACCTTGAAAGAGCCTCATTGCAGTTGCAGGTCGTACTTTAGTTGGAGCCTGAGAAATGTTGAATTAATATTACTGTGGAAACACTCCCCTGTCCTGGTGCAGATCGAGGCCCCACTGTTTTAGAAGATGATATAGTGAATTAATTTTGTTTCTGGAACAGAAACTTTTATTAGCGTAATCAATTCAATTTATTTCCAATTTTCTCGTTTAAATTTTTTTTTATCTGGGAAAACTTCCAAACAGAAATAGATCCACATTTAGAGGGCAAGGATGGTAATTATTCTTTGTGATATAACTATTGAAGGAAATAATTGCACTAAGAAGATAAAGAAGAAGATAAATTGAAGAGATTGTAATTGCTACTGTATGCAGGCCAGGGAGGGCTTTTTCTTCTATGCACAGTAGAGGTACAATGACCCTGCTTAGTAAATGGCTAAATGATGACTACCTACCCAAAGCATGTCAGTATGTAGCCAGACTGAGGCAAAATGGGTATATAATGACTATCTTGGACAAGGGCGGACTGGGACCAGAAATCAGCCCAGGCATTTCTAACACACCGGACCATTTTATTACTTGAGGCCCCCACACTGTCCCATTTTTTTACTCGAGGCCCCCATCACTGGCCAAATAATGATCATTCAGCGCAAAAAAACAACAACATATTTTGCAGGCCCACCGGGCTAAAGATCAGCCCATCTGACATTTGCCCGAACTGCCCTACAGCCAATCCGTTTCTGTGAAAAAGACTGTGTTCTATGTTTGTCTATGCTGTACTGTGAACTTCAAATGGGCATGGGTCAAAGTGTGCGGAGGCTTCCCTCTCCACATTACCTACAATACTTATGTGTCAGTAGGTAGTTGGACTGTGACAACAGATGCCAACCGAGGATTCACAGCCTGTAGTTGGCTAGTTTCCATCAATGATTTCAACCAGGCATCTAAAAGGCCTACGGCAGATAGAAAACAAATTAAAATAGCTGCTATCACCGATTAAGAGCAAATACTTTTACTCCTTATTGACAGAGGTGGTATCTTCTGGTTTCTCCCAGTCTCAGACACTTGTATTCCATATAGACACACATACACACACACACACACACACACACACACACACACACATTTCAATCATCATCTTCCATCTAGGCTTCAGTCAGCTGTGCTGCAATGGGAGTATGATGCTTGTGGCTAGATGGGGGTCGGTGAGTGTTCATCCAGGTCTACACTTCAGGGCAGGTCACCTGCTCATGGATGATGGAAGTCAGGGTTATGCGGTCAGCTTATGATTGGATATGGAGTCATTTGATGTCATACGATGCTGGAGAGAAGACACTAATAGCCTCTCAGTGAGCTGACAGACAGGGAGAAAATAGACTAATGTGTGTTTCTTGTAAAGGTTATCAGCAATAGAATTCAATAGAATGTATGATATTGTATCTCTATGGTTTTCAGCCTGTGTTTTTTAATAATTCTGTAAATTCATGGATTGTCAATCAATGGCCATATCTGGCTTGGCTTATTCATTTGAGCTCCTAGTGGACCATAGGGCCTCAATATCTGGTTATATGTTGACACAATCCACTAGTTTCATCTGTATGACCTGCAGGAGTAGCCCTCTGACTTCAACTTCTTAGCACACCCCGAGCTCCAAGTGTATCTGAAACTGTGTATGCGATTGGGAGATAGCCAGCCGTTGCTTCTATCTCTCATCTTGGAATAAGCATACATGATGCACTGCAGGTATAAGGATAAGGCTGAATGCTGGTATTGTCCCAGTGAGCACTGCAAGAACAACCATTTCAAACACAAGCTTTCAGGACAGCAGTGAGAACAATCTCACATAAATAAAGAATTGGAGCGGGCAAATAAATGAGATCAGACAACACAGGGCATCTGCAGGTTAAAGGCACAGGCCTGGGTCCCTGGGGCAATGCTTTCAGGTAGGCAGAAGGCAGGAGCACGTGAGAAAGGAAAAGCGAGAGGGATACAGAATCCCTGAGCCCACCTCCCGGCTGCTGAGTCTAAAGAAAGTTCCTCATGTACGGTGCACACCGTCGTACACACAGATGTGTGCATTCACACAGACACGAATGCATGCACACGCACGCATACTCACAAAAAAAATGCACACACGTAGAGAGAGAGATAAAGACAATCATGTAAATGCACAATCATCAACACACACAGAGCTCTTGTAATTAAAGCTGGATATGTAAATGATCTCTCTTTTTCTTTGTGTCTATTTCAGGGCCCATTCTCGGCCTTCGTCACTCACAGCTAATGGATGTCCTCACACAGTATGCCTACAATGAGAGTTTCTGGGACAATGGGAATGGGAGCTTCAATGACACGGAGAGTGGGCAGAAGCACCCGTACAATTACTACGCCATGCTCCTCACACTGCTCATCCTCGTCATTGTCTTTGGCAATGTGTTGGTGTGCATGGCCGTGTCCAGGGAGAAGGCCCTCCAGTCCACCACCAATTACCTGATCGTCAGTCTGGCTGTGGCTGACCTGCTGGTGGCCACCTTGGTTATGCCCTGGGTGGTCTATCTGGAGGTAGGTTACCTACACACCCACGCATGCTCTTTCATTGGCAGAAAGGCTTGAAGCTAAAGATACAGTGTAGTTTTTTACCCTGTGGTTGCTGGAGGTAGGCTACCTGTACAGTCATGCACCTTTGTCATTGGCTAAAAGGCTTAAAGGTGCAGTGTAGTTTTCTTTCCCATGAGGTTGCACAGCAAATTCCGTACATAATCATAGCTGAAGCAAAACAAACGGACACAAACAAGAGGTTGTTTGATTACACTTATGCCAATCAGGGTACCTCTTTGATTTTGCACTTGCATTGACTCTCCTACTCAGTCCTCCAAATTGAAAACAAACCATTAGGGCCACATTGTTGATCTGAAAAAGAATACATTCAAAGTGCTCCTTTATTAATGGTCTGGTTATGCAACAACTTTCCCAAGGTGTCTGTCATTGCAATTAGCATAATGCAAACAGAAGCCTGATTGTTCTGACAAGAAATTGCACATGAAAGAATAAAGGCAACAGCTACCATTGATGGAGTAATGTGAATGCAATGTGTGTCTGTTTTCATGGTGTATCTTCTCCACTGGTTAAAGATATTCATTTTAACTAAATGAATAATAAATACTTTTAAATATTCAAAATAAAATGTACTGCATGGCTTAAAAGTGGATGAGAAATAATAGCTCTGCTGTTTAAAAAAAAAATACATAAACGTTATCGCGTTTCATGATGCCAATTTACCACACAATCAAATATTAAAGTTTAAATCCACCCAAAAAATGTCCCTGTCAACAAGAAAATATGTAAGTAATTATGGTTCCATGCAATGCAATCATGGAATTTAATAGATAAGAATTAAGATGGCATCAGCATTAAATTGTGGGAAATAGCATTGCATATTAGAACTGACAGTTTAATGAAAGTCACTCAATAAAAAAGTTTTCACTCTAGCAAATAGGCTGTAATGTTGATAAAATGTCTACTGTAGACAGGAGGTCAGATGATTAAGTTTGAGCAAAGTGAGGAAATTAATAAATTCAGATCATGAAAATAAATGGCACTGTACCTACAAAGCTAGCTTAGTATGTGGAGCATCAGCACTGCCAATGTCAAAATGTCAAACATATGTACTCATTCCCCAGCTATAGGCCTGTAATTTTCATCATAGGTACACGTCAACTATGACAGACAAATTGAGAAAAAAAATCCAGAAAATCACATTGTAGGATTTTTTATACATTTATTTGCAAATTATGGTGGAAAATAAGTATTTGGTCACCTACAAACAAGCAAGATTTCTGGCTCTCACAGACCTGTAACTTCTTCTTTAAGAGGCTCCTCTGTCCTCCACTCGTTACCTGTATTAATTGGCACCTGTTTGAACTTGTTATCAGTATAAAATACACCTGTCCACAACCTCAAACAGTCACACTCCAAACTCCACTATGGCCAAGACCAAAGAGCTGTCAAAGGACACCAGAAACAATATTGTAGACCTGCACCAGGCTGGGAAGACTGAATCTGCAATAGGTAAGCAGCTTGGTTTGAAGAAATCAACTGTGGGAGCAATTATTAGGAAATGGAAGACATACAAGACCACTGATAATCTCCCTCGATCTGGGGCTCTACGCAAGATCTCACCCCGTGGGGTCAAAATGATCACAAGAACGGTGAGCAAAAATCCCAGAACCACACGGGGGGACCTAGTGAATGACCTGCAGAGAGCTGGGACCAAAGTAACAAAGCCTACCATCAGTAACACACTACGCCGCCAGGGACTCAAATCCTGCAGTGCCAGACGTGTCCCCCTGCTTAATCCAGTACATGTCCAGGCCCATCTGAAGTTTGCTAGAGTGCATTTAGATGATCCAGAAGAGGATTGGGAGAATGTCATATGGTCAGATGAAACCAAAATAGAACTTTTTGGTAAAAACTCAACTCGTCGTGTTTGGAGGACAAAGAATGCTGAGTTGCATCCAAAGAACACCATACCTACTGTGAAGCATGGGGGTGGAAATATCATGCTTTGGGGCTGTTTTTCTGCAAAGGGACCAGGACGACTGATCCGTATAAAGGAAAGAATTAATGGGGCCATGTATCGTGAGATTTTGAGTGAAAACCTCCTTCCATCAGCAAGGGCATTGAAGATGAAACGTGGCTGGGTCTTTCAGCATGACAATGATCCCAAACACACCGCCCGGGCAACGAAGGAGTGGCTTCGTAAGAAGCATTTCAAGGTCCTGGAGTGGCCTAGCCAGTCTCCAGATCTCAACCCCATAGAAAATCTTTGGAGGGAGTTGAAAGTCTGTGTTGCCAAGCGACAGCCCCAAAACATCACTGCTCTAGAGGAGATCTGCATGGAGGAATGGGCCAAAATACCAGCAACAGTGTGTGAAAACCTTGTGAAGACTTACAGAAAACGTTTGACCTGTGTCATTGCCAACAAAGGGTATATAACAAAGTATTGAGAAACTTTTGTTATTGACCAAATACTTATTTTCCACCATAATTAGCAAATAAATTCATAAAAAATCCTACAATGTGATTTTCTGGATTTTTTTTCCTCATTTTGTCTGTCATAGTTGACGTGTACCTATGATGAAAATTACAGGCCTCTCTCATCTTTTTAAGTGGGAGAACTTGCACAATTGGTGGCTGACTAAATACTTTTTTTCCTCACTGTAGGTTAGACAACATCTGTGAATTATTATGTATTATTTTGTGATGTGACTTTTAAAACTGTCTTGTGTGATCTAGGTGTGTGCTGTGTAAACCATGTAAGGTTGAATCAATGCCCAGTGACATTTGCGACGTAAAGCAGCGGAACGGTAGCCTTGGGCAACAACACAATCAAGCTCATTTCAGCAAATCAACTGAGAGTAGGAAGTAGAACAGGTTTCGGAGAAAAAACCCCTCGCCTTACCTCGCTGTGCTAGGATGTTATTTTTCACTGTGGTCTTTGGCCAATGACGTGAGAGGCCATCCAAGACTGCAGCGAAATAATCCTCCTGTGTGTGTATCAATGAGACCGCCTGCTGATTACCAGGGCTATCAAATTACACTCTAAAATCTATAGTCTGTCGTGTGCTCTGGAGAAAAACTGTGACTTGATCTCTTGCTCTAGCATCCAAGAAAACCTCAATGATTCGCCTGTGTTTATATGGTCTACTTCCATTTGAAAAATGTATCATTTAGCAGATGCTCTTATCCAGAGCGGTTTCCAGGAGCAATTAGGGTTAAGTTCCTTGCTCAAGGGCACATTGACAGATTTTTCACCTAGTCGGCTTGGGGATTCAAACCAGTGACCTTTTGGTTACTGGCCCAATGCTCTAAACTGCTAGGCTACATCTGACTAAAGGTTGAGAAAAGCCACATACAGTAGGCTAACTCGTTACACAACCTTTCCACAGTGACCCTCAGCTCCCTTCAAACAGGCCTCTCAATTGTATTACAAAGGATACCAAGTTTAAGGTCATGTGTGGATTAGTACACGCTTAACAAGAAGTTAAGGATATACCGAATGAGCTTTGATGGTTTGTTTTTCACAAATCCCATTCAGTTTGTCTTACCGACTAATAGTAGAATAACCAGCCTTTACAATGCTTTGGAAATGGCACAAATTAAAATCAGTCTCTCTTACACAGTAGGCTGTAGCTTGGCAACATTACAAGGGCTTATTGTTAGCATGAGAATAAGCACTGCCTTCAATTGAAACGGGTGGGTTTTTTTTGGGGCAACGTCTTTGCGTTTGTTCGCATGATTCACACTCTTGAAACATTAGATTTCTAGCGGAGAAAAGAGATGTTATGTAGGATTATGCTTCAACACAACGAAAATAAGCACATTGATCTTTTGTTATTACAATGTCTGTTTGGATCATCGTCCCTCTCCCGGGAAAACATTGTACTTTGCTGCGAGACCATTGCCTATTTGTTTTCATTTTGTTCAGGTTCAGGTTAATTTATCTTCCTAGTCTAACAACAAGCTGTGGTAATGTGTTGGTCACAGTCTGCTGCAGGAGCACTGTTGCCCTTTCTTGCTAAATGCTACATTTGCATTAAACATGAATACGTTTCACCTTCATTCGACCATGCCAAATCTGGTATATTGAGAGCCTTTTCTTGACACATGCTAGATGACCTTAGGTCTTCAGATGTTTATTGGCTTTGATGAGCAGCTGGGAAAGATGCTTAACCTCTTTCCTCCCAGCCAGCCTCACAGTATTTTAAACAGAAATGTTGACATTTCTGAGAAAGTGCAATATCTAATGTACAATCCCAACGCAAAATGAGAAAAACAAAATATCAGGACCAAATGAGAAAATATGTATCGGGCTGCAGTCGACATTAACATAGCAATTGGATTTCTCGCTGCATTTCATTTACAATGTCACCGATGTCAGGGCAGTCCTCGACCAAATCAATTTTCAATAAGCCCTTACCATGATGTCTATGGGTGTTAATAATAGTGTTAAATAATCTCCATTCCCACCAGTTAGGGAGGAGTGTTAGTAGGCTGATGTGTGGAGCCTGGTATAAAGAGTCTTTTATTAGTTTTGTCAGATCATTCTTTAATCACTGGCAGGGCTGCAATCAGACAACTAGGAGCAAAGACATAACCCTCTTCAAGCCTGAGCTTGGCATAATTAATAACACATTGCCTCAGGACAGAGATTAATCAGACAGGTCTCCGTGAGCCCTGCTTTGCAGCTCTGGCTGTTTAAAAAAAAAAAAAAGGTGAGATGCAGATATCTCTGGGCTTGACGACTCCAATACGATTGAGTGAGAAACTGAGTGAGAAGCAAAGCACCACTCTCAGTAGTGATGTAGGGGAAAGGCTTAGGATCTGCCACGATGGGCGGGCTTCGAAGCGCACTGTCATGCAGGGATGTTAGCTAGTAGCTACACCATGGGATCCCTGTTCATGTGGAGAGTGGAGGTGGTTTGTGAATAAGAATGGGTTAATCAGGCTCTTGGGAAGGAAGTGGAAGCATAAACTACTCATTATACATTAAAATCTCTCTCTCTCTCTCTCTCTCTCTGTCATGACCAAAAGTATGTGGACACCTGCTCGTCGAACATCTCATTCCATAATCATGGGTATTAATATGGAGTTGGTCTCCCCTTTGCTGCTATAACAGCCTCCACTCTTTGGGGAAGGCTTTCCACTAGATGTTGGAACATTGCTGCGGGGACATGCTTCCATTCAGCCAGAAGAGCATTAGTGAGGTCGGGCACTGATGTTGGGCGAGTAGGCCTGGCTTGCAGTCGTCGTTCCAATTCATCCCAAAGGTGTTCGATGGGGTTGAGGTCAGGGCTCTGTGCAGGCCAGTCAAGTTCTTCCACACCAACCATTTCTGTATGGACCTCACTTTGTGCACGGGGGCATTGTCATGCTGAAACAGGAAAGGGCCTTTCCCAAACTGTTGCCACAAAGTTGAAAGCACCGAATCGTCTACAATGTCATTGTACGCTGTAGCATTAAGATTTCCCTTCACTGGAACTAAGGGGCCTAGCCCGAACCATGAAAAACAGCCCCAGACCATTATTCCTGCTCCACCAAACTTTACAGTTGGCATTATGCATTCGGGCAGGTAGCGTTCTCATGTCTTCCGCCAAACCCAGATTTGTCCGTTGGACTGCCAGATGGTGAAGCTTGATTAATCACTCCAGAGAACGCGTTTCCACTGCTCCAGAGTCCACTGGCGGCGAGTTTTACACCACTCCAGCTGACGCTTGGCATTGCGCATGGTGATCTTAGGCTTGTGTGTGGCTATTTGGCCATGAAAACCCATGTCATGAAACTCCTGACGAGCAGTTCTTGTGCTGATATTGCTTGGAACTCGGTAGTGAGTGTTGCAACCGAGGACAGACAATCTTTACGCACTACGTGCTTCAGTACTCGGCAGTCCTGTTCTGTGAGCTTGTGTGGCCTACCACTTCGCAGCTGAGCCATTGTTACTCCTAGACGTTTCTACTTCACAATAACAGCACATACAGTTGACCGGGCAGCTCAAGCAGGGCAGAAATTTGACGAACTGACTTGTTGGAAAGGTGGCATCCTATGACGGTGGCACATTGAAAGTCACTAAGCTCTTCAGTAAGGCCGTTCTACAGCCAATGTTTGTCTATGGAGATTGCATGGCTGTGTGCTCCTTTTTATACACCGTCAGCAACGGGTGTGGCTGAAATAGCCGAATCCACTAATTTGAAGGGGTGTCCACCTACTTTGGGCCATGTAGTATGTATGTGTGTATATATATATATATATATATATATATATATATATATACACTCAGTGGCCAGTTTATTAGCTACACCACCCCGTTCACAAAAATGGTTAGCTCCTATAGACAGTGAGTCACGTGGCTTGCTATATAAAGCAAGCAGACGCGCATCGAGGCATTCAGTTACTGTTCGATTGAACGTTAGAATGGGCAAAATTAGTGACCTAAGTGACATTGAGCATGGTATGATTGTCTGTGCCAGCTGCGCCGGTTCCAGTATCTCAGAACGGCCTAACTTCTGGGCTTTTCACGCACAACAATGTCTAGGGTTTACCAACAATGGTGCAAAAAACTGATAACATCCAGTCAGTGGCAGTCCTATGGGCCGAAAACAGCTCAGGTTGATGGAGAATGGCAAGAATTGTGCAGGCTAACAGGCTGGCCACAGACAGGCAAATAATGGCGCAGTACAACAGTGGTGTGCAGAACGGCATCTCGGAACGCACAACTCGTCGGTCCTTGTCATAGATGGGCTATTGTAGCAGACGACCACACCGGGTTCCACTGCTCCAGTGGGCATGAGATCACCAACACTGGATAATTGAGGAGTGGAAAAACATTGCCTGGTCTGACAAATCCCGGTTCCTGTGCGTCATGCTGATTGCAGAGTCAGGATTTTATGTAAGCAGCATGAATCCAAGGCCCCATCCTGCCTGATATCAACGGTACATGCTGTTGGCAGTGGTATAATGGTGTGGGGAATGTTTTCCTGGCACACGTTAGGTTCCTTGATACCAAATGAACATTTGAACGCCACAGCGTATCTGAAAATCCATGCTCCGAAGAATTAAGGCTGTTCAAATCATATCAAAATGTATTTGTCACGTGCTTCGTAAACAACAGGTGTAGACTAACAGTGAAATGCTTACTTACGGGCCCTTCCCAACAATAATATATATGTTTTTCTTAAATAGAAATAGTAGCAAAAAATAAAAAGACATAAATAAATAAAAAATAACATAAGGAATAAATAGAACAATTTACCAAACATTAGGAACACCTTCCTAATATTGAGTTGCACCCCCTTTTGCCCTCAGAACAGACTCAATTCGTCGGGGAATGAACTCTACAAGGTGTCAAAAGCATTCCACAGGGATGCTGGCCCATGTTGACTCCAATGCTTCCCACAGTTGTGTCAAGTTGGCTGGTAGTGGATAGCTCGTTCCATCTCATCCCACAGATGCTATTGAATTGAGATCTGGTGACTGGGCAGGCCACTGCAATAAGATAAATTCACTGTCATGTTCGTGGAACCATTCCTGGATAATCCTAGCCTTGTGGCATGGGGCATTATCCTGCTGCAAATTTTTTTATTTGCAGATGGAAACATCTGCTGCCATGAAGGGATGCACCTGATTGGCAGTGTTGTTCAGATATCCTGTGGCATTCAAACATTGCTCCACTTTTATCAAGGGGCCCAATGTGTGCCATAAAAAACACACCCCACACCATCACACCACCACCACCAGCCAAGACTCTTACTAGAGCTGGCCACCCGGCCAAACTGAGCAATCGGGGTAGAAGGGCGTTGGTCAGGGAGGTGACCAAGAACCCGATGGTGCCTCTGACAGAGCTCCAGAGTTCCTCTGTGGAGATGGGAGAACCTTCCAGAAGGACAACCATCTCTGCAGCACTCCACCAATCAGGCCTTTATGGTAGAGTGGCCAGATGGAAGCCACACCTCAGTAAAAGGCACATGACAGCCCACTTGGAGTTTGCCAAAAGGCACCTAAAGGACTCTCAGACCATGAGAAACAAGATTATCTGGTCTATAATCGCTGACAAAGGTGCTTCAACAAAGTACTGAGTAAAGTCTGAATACTTATGTAAATGTAATGTTTATTTATTTATTTGTAATACATTTGCAAAAAATTCTAAAAACCTGTTTTTGCTTTGTCATTATGGGATATTGTGTGTAGATTGATGAAGGGGAAAAACCATTTAATCCATTTTAGAATAAGGCTGTAACGTAACAACATTTGGAAAAGGTAAAAGGGTCTGAATACTTTCCGAGTGCGCTGTATATAGTGTTGTCGTGGAAATTACACACAGGGACACTCAAAGTCAATCTTAAATGAATAATTATTTATTATCAGCGCGCTGGAGAGGTTCCAACCAACTCAATGCACCAAGGACACATGTCGATCAGGAGCTCCACCCGGGGCAGTCCCGTTAGTTCTCTTACATACATACAAGTTATATTTGCATGATTTAGCTTATTCATCACTCATAATTAATTCATCATTAATGTTTGCTTCATGTGACCGACCAATACTGGGTCATACATGTGACAGACCAATACCTCACAAGGCTTTTCACTAAGCTGCAACCTTGAAACTAAGATATCCCTTTCTCAAAACAAGGTTCTGGGCGTCCTGCCAAATTGCAGATACTGATAGTGAGGATTCGTTCAATCAGTCACTTGCAAGAACACAGAAATTGGTTATTAGAAAAGCACATGAATAGAGCACAGAAATTGGTTATTAGAAAAGCACAAACAATACAATTTTCCATCACAGTGTCTTTTGATTGATTCCGATATAAGTGACAGGGAACTTATGGTGAATGGAGCAGGCATTGGAAGATTCATGAGAACAGCTGAAAAGATAAGAATATCTATTGAGGAACATGTAGGGTGTGCTTTTTAATGTCTGACTGAACTGCAACTGAAAAACAGTCTGTGCTTGAGTCAGTGCTTGAGGGGGATAAAACAAATTGTTCTGTTGTCTCTAAATGTTGGAACATCTTTCTTTCAGGTGGTGGGAGAGTGGAGGTTTAGTAAAATCCACTGTGACATCTTTGTCACCCTTGATGTCATGATGTGCACTGCTAGCATCCTCAATCTCTGTGCCATCAGCATTGATCGGTAAGTGTGCTCTTGAAATTGTTGAATCTTGGCTGGAGGCAGGTGCCATTATGGATTTGCAGTGAAAAGCTTTAAGCAAATTCATTGGAGTCTGGACCTAAAAGGCATAACCCAGCTGGTAGTTTCTATTGAATACCAATACAATTATTTATGGACTATGCAGGACGCCACTTTTCATTTTGAATGATTTTCCACTTCACTGATTTTCGTGTCACTCAAATGCATGTACAGAACACCTTGGTTATGTGAATACTAAACTCAGAGGTCATTTAAATATATATTGAAGTAATTTGTATTTTAATACAAAATGTCTGCACATTCAGCATGTGTGGAGAAAATCTTTGAGTTGTTTATACTGCTGATGCTTATTTTAGAGTAAGAGAAACATAGAGTCATTGGTTATATAGTCCTGTGATTAACAATTAGTCCTGGGATAGTCCTGTGATTAACAATTATTCCTGGGATAGTCCTGTGATCTGTGCTATTGAATAAAGAGTACCTTTAAAGCTAGAGTCCTTAATTGAAACAATAACCACTCTCAAATTCATAGACAGAGATATGGATGCAAGGACTGTCCATCCATGATATCAATTGTATAGATTAACCATGATTTGAAGCTATGTAGTGTTTGTTTATATTTACATTGTTTACAAACATTGGAGTAAACAAGCTTCTATTTTGGGTTCTGATGGGGTACAGCAGTTGAACTAAGCTCATGAAGCATTTATAAGTTATATTCTTCAAGAATTAATAGGTATACACTACCGGTTAAATGTTTAAGAACACCTACTCATTCAAGGGTTCTTCTTTATTTTTACTATTTTCTACATTGTAGAATAATAGTGAAGACATCAAAACTATGAAATAACACATATGGAATAATGTAGTAATTCAAAAAGTGTTAAACAAATCAAAATATATTTTATATTTGAGATTCTTCAAATAGCCACCCTTTGCTTTGATGACAGCTTTGCACACTCTTGGCATTCTCTCAACCAGCTTCATGAGGTAGTTACCTGGAATGCATTTCAATTAACAGGTGTGCCTTGTTAAAAGTTAATTTGTGGAATTTCTTTCCTTCTTAATGTGTTTGAGCCAATTAGTTGTGTTGTGACAAGGTAGGGGGGTATACAGAAGATAGCCCTATTTGGTAAAAGACCAAGTCCAAATTATGGCAAGAACAGCTCAAATAAGCAAAGAGAAATGACAGTCCATCATTACTTTAAGACATGAAGGTCAGTCAATCCGGAAAATTTCAAGAACTTTGAAAGTTTCTTCAAGTGCAGTCGCAAAACCCATCAAGCGCTATGATGAAACTGGCTCTCATGAGGACCGCCACAGGAATGGAAGACCCAGAGTTACCTCTGCTGCAGAGGATAAGTTCATTAGAGTTACCTCAGAAATTGCAGCCCAAATAAATGCTTCACAGAGTTCAAGTAACAGACACATCTCAACATCAACTGTTCAGAGGAGACTGCGTGAATCAGGCCTTCATGGTCGAATGCTGCAAAGAAATCACTGCTAAAGGACACCAATAATAAGAAGAGACTTGCTTGGGCCAAGAAACACGAGCAATGGACATTAGACCGGTGGAAATTTGTCCTTTGGTCTGGAGTCCAAATTGGAGATTTTTGGTTCCAACCGCCGTGTCTTTGTGAGATGCAATGTGGGTGAACGGATGATCTCCGCATGTATATTTCCTACCGTAAAGCATGGAGGAGGACGTGTTATGGTGTGTGTTTTTTTTGCTGGTGACACTGTCTGTGATTAATTTAGAATTCAAGGCACTCTTAACCAGCATGGCTACCACAGCATTCTGCAGCGATACACCATCCCATCTGGTTTGGGCTTAAAAGGACTATAATTTGTTTTTCAACAGGACAATGACCCAAAACACACCTCCAGGCTGTGTAAGGGCTATTTGACCAAGAAGGAGAGTGATGGAGTGCTGCATCAGATGACCTGGCCTCCACAATCCCCCGACCTCAACCAAATTGAGATGGTTTGGGAAAAGCAGCCAATAAGTGCTCAGCATATGTGGGAACTCCTTCAAGACTGTTGGAAAAGCATTCCAGGTGAAGCTGGTTGAGAGAATACCAAGAGTGTGCAAAGCTATCATCAAGGCAAAGGGTGGCTATTTAAGAATATAGTTTGATTTGTTTAACACTTTTTGGGTTACAACATGATTCCATATGTGTTATTTCATAGTTTTGATGTCTTCACTATTATTCTACAATGTAGAAAATAGTAAAAATAAAGAAAAACCCTTGAATGAGTAGGTGTTCTAAAACCTTTGACCGGTAGTGTATATATTTATATCATTAATTTCTAAGTCCCAAAATGTATGTAGCAACTAAGGATTCTAGCTTTAAGTGCTTAAGTCGCCTTGGTTCCCAACCAAATTGCAATGAAATCAATAAAGGAAGTCTGTAAAAGGATTTCTACTTCCTAAGATGTCAACTAACTCACTAATAAGGTCACACAGCAGGCTAGAGGTTAATTGATAAGGACCCCTACCAGAGATGTAGTGGAGGGTTACTGCATATAAACACATTTAATGCACATTAAGGGTTAATGCACATTAAGCACCTTTTTATTTCCTGAATAGCATTTACCTGTTACGCTAAATTAGCATTTTTTAGCGTTTTCTGTACGTTAGTCCTCCCATCATCTCAGAGTTTACCCACCTTTGTTTCTACCCCTACAGTCGTGGTCAATGGTTTTGAGAATGACACAAGTATTGGTTTTCACAAAGTTAGCTGCTTCAGTGTTTTTAGATATTTTTGTCAGATGTTACTATGTTATACTGAAGTATAATTACAAGCATTCCACAAGTGTCAAAGGCTTGTATTGACAATTACAAAGAGTCAATTTTTGCAGTGTTGACCCTTCTTTTTCAAGACCTCTGCAATCCGCCCTGGCATGCTGTCAATTAACTTCTGGGTCACATCCTGACTGATGGCAGCCCATTCTTGCATAATCAATGCTTGGAGTTTGTCAGAATTTATGGGTTTTTGTTTGTCCACCTGCCTGTTGAGGATTGACCACAAGTTCTCAATGGGATCAAGGTCTGGGGAGTTTCCTGGCCATGGACCCAACATTTCGATGTTTTGTTCCCTGAGCCACTTAGTTATCACTTTTGCCTTATGGCAAGGTGCTCCATCATGCTGGAAAAGGCATTGTTCGTCATCAAACTGTTCTTGGATGGTTGGGAGAAGTTGCTCTCGGAGGATGTGTTTGTACCATTCTTTATTCATGCTGTGTTCTTAGGCAAAATTGTGAGTGAGCCCACTCCCTTGGCTGAGAAGCAACCACACACATGAATGGTCTCAGGATGCTTTACTGTTGGCATGACACAGGACTGATGATAGCGCTCACCTTGTCTTCTCTGGACAAGCTTTTTTCCGGATGCCCCAAACAATCGGAAAGGGGATTCATCAGAGAAAATGACTTTACCCCAGTCCTCAGCAGTCCAATCCCTGTACCTTTTGCAGAATATCAGTCTGTCCCTGATGTTTTTCCTGGAGAGAAGTGGCTTCCTCGCTGCCCTTCTTGACACCAGGCCATCCTCCAAAAGTATTTGCCTCACTGTGCATGCAGATGCACTTAAACCTGCCTGCTGCCATTCCTGAGCAAGCTCTGCACTGGTGGTGCCCCGATCCCGCAGCTGAATCTACTTTAGGAGACAGTCCTGGCGCTTGATGGACTTTCTTGGGTGCCCTGAAGCCTTCTTCACAACAATTGAACCTCTCTCCTTGAAGTTCTTGATGATCTGATAAATGGTTGATTTAGGTGCAATCTTACCAGCAGCAATATCCTTGCCTGTGAAGCCCTTTTTGTGCAAAGCAATGATGACGGCACGTGTTTCCTTGCAGGTAACCATGGTTAACAGAGGAAGAACAATGATTTCAAGCACCACCCTCCTTTTAAAGCTTCCAGTCTGTTATTCTAACTCAATCAGCATGACAGAGTGATCTCCAGCCTTGTCCTCGTCAACACTCTCACCTGTGTTAACGAGAGAATCACTGACATGATGTCAGCTGGTCCTTTTGTGGCAGGGCTGAAATGCAGTGGAAATGTTTTTGCGGGATTAAGTTCATTTTCATGGCAAAGAGGGACTTTGCAATTAATTGCAATTCATCTGATCACTCTTCATAACATTCTGGAGTATATGCAAATTGCCATCATAAAAACTGAGGCAGCAGACTTTGTGAAAATTAATATTTGTGTCATTCTCAAAACCTTTGACCACGACTGTACAGCCCTGATGTCCCTACTAAGAGAAGATAGAGAAAGGTGTTTGCTGTCACTCCACCTGTAGTCTGCACAGTAGAAAAGCCATACTCAAACTTGGATCATGTCTGGCCCTACTGTGTTTTCCCCTTGTCTTTCCTTCCCTCTGCTTCCTTCCACAACAGATACACAGCAGTCGCCATGCCCATGCTGTACAACACACGCTACAGCTCCAGAAGACGAGTCACTGTTATGATCTCAGTGGTGTGGGTTCTGTCCTTTGCAATATCATGCCCCCTGTTGTTTGGCCTAAATAACACAGGTAATAGCAGGAACTCAGTATGACAATGATAGGTGATACTAAACTGTATGACTGCTGTGAATGGGGTAAACAGTGTGGTGGTTAGTTTGAATGCTCCTCTTTCATACACATAGTATATTCATCCAAAATGTTATGTATTTTGCACTGTATTGACCAACTCAGTTGCCTTGTGGTTAGAGTGTCCACCCTGAGATTGAAAGATTGCGAGACCGATCCTCGGCCGAGTCATACCAAAGCCTGTATAAATGGTACCCGATGCGTCTCAGCTTGGCACTCAGAATTAAGGAGATACATTGGGGATAAGGCTCTGCAATAGACTAGCGTCCTGTCCAGGGGTCGTACTTCTACATCATGCTACAAAGAATGGCTACTGCTCAAATGAGCTGTTCCTGCTCGCTCGTGCAAGGCTCCTTAATTACGTTTGATATGTATTGTTTTCTGACCGGCGTGTCATTTTGTTTTTCTCCCTAGCGACTCGCGACGAGTCCCTGTGCATCATCGCCAACCCGGCTTTTGTGGTGTACTCCTCCATTGTGTCCTTCTACATTCCCTTCATCATCACTCTGCTGGTCTACGTGCAGATTTATGTGGTGCTTCGCAAGCGGCGGAAACGGGTGAACACAAAGCGCTCGTGTCAAGGGACAGGCGACCACGACACAGTTGTCACGTTAAAGGTGACTAGGCTGCTAATCATGTTTTTCGTAAATGAAGTGCTCAACACACTTAGTAGAGCCAATTCAATTAAATCCATTGTCAACAACGCGTCATGTGTTTTTGGAGAATGTAATCAAACATGAGGAAGCTAGATATTATAGTGTTTGCTATTCACAGACATGAGAGGACAAACACATAGATAATGATTTTGTTGGAGGGTCCAACAAAAACACACGAGATCGCATTCTAGCCCGGATTGAAAAGGGCAAACGCAATTATCCTAAGGCGTTTTATTTGAGCGTATTGAGATTATTAACAACATATTCTGATGTAATTGGTCATTTCACATGACAAATCCCACTTGGCCATGTTACATTGGCCTACTATATTGGAAGGAGAGCTGAAATGCAACAGTAATTATGCCTTTAAGTGACATTTTCCTTTTCTGGATATTGATTTGAATTACATTAAAGCGGATCAATACAGGAAAAGAAGCCGTGTTTCTCTCAGACCTCTGCATTACTCATGTACATGCATGCCTTTGTCTTGTTGTGGGGAAGGGAGAAAGAAGAGAAAATACATTCACAAAGTATACTGTGAGTCAATAAACCATTTCTGAAACAATATTGTCAGTTTAACTCCGTGGACTTTTTATTTCTGCCCTATTGAGTGTTATGGACGTAATGATTCGAATGGGAATCAAATAACGGCGTACGCTCAATAGAATTACAGTTTGTTTGGTTTATTGTTAATTGTTCTTTAGAATTGTGCCATCTCAAAGAGCGACTCTGAGAACATTTGGTGCCTGTGCAGTGACTGTGTGCCGGCTTCTCTCCCCTGTTGTTGTTTCAGGAGAAGTGCAGTCACCCAGGAGATGTGAGCCTATGCACTGTGATTGTGAAACCTAATGGGAGCTTTCCTGTCAACAAGAAAAAAGTGGTGTGTCAAGTATTTGTTGTGCTATTTTTACAGAGCAACTCTCATAAGGCAGTCTTTACTTTTAAAGGCAGTTAACAAGGTGTCACCTCTATTGTTCCCATTTCTCCCCGTAAGCAAGATATAGAAGTTACTGCTGCATTTACTACTACTACTACTACTACTACTACTACTACTACTACTACTACTACTACTACTACTACTACTATAACATCGTTGTTGATCTCTGTCAGCAGATCTTCATCAAAGAGGTGGCCCACGATGGGGATGACATGGAGTTGGACGAGATGATCAACTGCAACCCTCAGAAACAGAAGAATGTGGACAATGCCACCACCACGTCTGTCAGCCACCAGCTCCTCCCGCCAACCAAGGCCAACGTCAGCCTCACCTCCGTGCCCCCCTCCCTGCCTGAGGGCTCCCTTAAAGTGGAGAAGAACGGCGACTCGAAGGACATACTGGCGGAAGTGCCCAAAGTCGCTAAAGCGTTTCAGACCGAGGCCTTACCCAACGGCAAAACACAGACGTCTATCAAGCAGCAACCCACTCTCATGAGTAAGAGGAAGATCTCCCAACAGAAGGAAAAGAAAGCCACTCAAATGTTAGCCATAGTCCTGGGTAAGTTGTTAACGTGAATAACACTTTGAATGGGATACAAAAATTGGGGTAAAGTCTATTTTACTTTCACACGTCATAAACAATAAGACAACTCAATAAAATGTAGTTGATATCTTTATTTTACTAGCTGTAGTTTTCTGACGGCCTGTATAGGTATATTATATTCCCTTAGTAATCCTTAACTTGAAAAGAGCTTACAGGCAACCAGGCAGAAAATGATGCATCAAAAGGAAACAGATTTCATTTTCATCGAGGAGAAGGACATTTGTATAAAGTTTCACTTCATAACATGATTCAATGTCGACATTCATCCAGTATCACGGTACTAGCTGGTTTCTCCGATCTTTTCACATTTTGTCTTCTCTCTCTCTCTTTAGGTGTATTTATCATATGCTGGCTACCTTTTTTCATCACTCATATATTGAACACCCACTGCACCACATGCAAGGTTCCTGCAGAGATGTATAACGCTTTCACGTGGCTGGGGTATGTGAACAGTGCTGTGAACCCCATCATATACACCACTTTCAATATAGAGTTCAGAAAAGCTTTCATCAAGATCCTGCATTGCTAAGGTTGGCATTTGAGGAGGGAGCTGGAATGGAGAAAAGCATCACTTATAGCCTACTAAAATATACCTCATCCACGTGAGGACAGTGCACATGACCATAAGTTTCAGTGATGATCTTTGAGAAATGGAGAGACTGAGTAAATGCCACACATGAAGACTTGGGGATTTTTGTGGATTATTTTGTGGACTCATGTTCTCTCACCTGAATGTATATTGAGGAATCATGTCTTTATCAATTAACTGTTTATTGGAAATGTCATATTGGTCTTAACCATCGTGCTTGTCACTAAAGAGCAATCCATGTAAGGAAATTTAAAGAAAACACAAGAAGATGTGTTTAAAAACACTAAAGCAAGCAACCTATTTACTCTGTGTATATGATGTCTTTTTGATAATGGCTGAATCCCGCAAAGACCAACTAGATATCAACAAATCAGTGTTCATCTCAGTATTAAACCTGATAATATTAAACTGGTCATCTATGAGCTCTGCAGCTTTAAACCACCCACAGAATGGAATGTGTGTTACATAGAGATTAAACATTTTGACTCATGGTTTTCTCACTGGTCCACTTGGCAAGAGAGGCAGCCACATACACTGCCTTGCAAAAGTATTCATCCCCCTTGACTTTTTTCCTATTTTGTTGCATTACAACCTGTAATTTCAATTGATTTTTATTTGGATTTCACGTAATGGACATACCCAAAATAGTCCAAATTGGTGAAGTGAAATTAAAAAAATAACTTGTTTCAAAAAATTCAAAAAAATTAATACCGGAAAAGTGGTGCGTGCATATGTATTCACCCCCTTTGCTATGAAGCCCCTAAATAAGATCTGGTGCAACCAATTACCTTCAGAAGTCACATAATTAGTTAAATAAAGTCCACCTGTGTGCAATCTAAGTGTCACATGATCTGTCACATGATCTCAGTATATATACACCTGTTCTGAAAGGCCCCAGAGTCTGCAACACCACTAAGCAAGGGGCACCACCAAGCAAGCGGCACCATGAAGACCAAGGAGCTCTCCAAACAGGTCAGGGACAAAGTTGTGGAGAAGTATAGATCAGGGTTGGGTTACAAAAAGATATCCGGAACTTTGAACATCCCACGGAGCACCATTATGTATATTATCAAAAATTGAAAGAATATGGCACCACAACAAACCTGCCAAGAGGGGGCTGCCCACCAAAACTCATGGACAAGGCAAGGAGGGCATTAATCAGAGAGGCAACAAAGAGACTGAGGATAACCCTGAAGGAGCTGCAAAGCTCCACAGCGGAGATTGGAGTATCTGTCCATAGGACCACTTTAAGCCGTACACTCCACAGAGCTGGGCTTTACAGAAGAGTGGCCAGAAAAAAGCCATTGCTTAAAGAAAAGAAAAAAAGCAAACACGTTTGGTCTTCGCCAAAAGCCATGTGGGAGACTCCCCAAACATATGGAAGAAGGTACTCTGGTCAGCTGAGACTAAAATTGAGCTTTTTGGCCATTAAGGAAAACGCTATATCTGGCGCAAACCCAACACCTCTCATCACCCCGAGAACACCATCCCCACAGTGAAGCATGGTGGTGGTAGCATCATGCTGTGGGGATGTTTTTCATCGGCAGGAACTGGGAAACTGGTCAGAATTGAAGGAATGATGGATGGCGCTAAATACAGGGAAATTCTTGAGGGAAACCTGTTTCAGTCTTCCAGAGATTTGAGACTGGGACGGAGGTTCACCTTCCAGCAGGACAATGACCCTAAGCATACTGCTAAAGCAACACTTGAGTGGTTTAAGGGGAAACATTTAAATCTTTTGGAATAGTCAAAGCCCAGGATGACTTAAACATTGCTGTACACCAGAGGAACCCATCCAACTTGAAGGAGCTGGAGCAGTTTTGCCTTGAAGAATGGGCAAAAATCCCAGTGGCTAGATGTGCCAAGCTTATAGAGACATACCCCAAGAGACTTGCAGCTGTAATTGCTGCAGAAGGTGGCTCTACAAAGTATTGACTTTGGGGGGGTAAATAGTTATGCATGCTCAAGTTTTCCATTTTTTTTGTCTTATTTCTTGTTTGTTTCACAATAAAAAATATTTTGCAACTTCAAAGTGGTAGGCATGTTGTGTAAATCAAATGAAACAAACCCCCCAAAAATCTATTTTAATTCCTGGTTGTAAGGCAACAAAATAGGAAAAATGCCAAGGGGGGTGAATACTTTCGCAAGCCACTGTATTTGTGATAAATTGAATTATTATTATTATTATTAATAATATGAATCTTATACTTATGCTTATTATTGTTATTATTATACAAAAACCCTCTACAGCCACCACTGGTCCATTGTTCCTATCTGGCTCGGAAGGACCATGAATAAGGTTTTTGTGCAGTTATTATTTAAATTAGCTGTACATGCTTTTTATAAACACATTCTATGTGATTGTATGCCTGCAATGAAAATGTGATGCATGTTACATTGCTCCTTTACATCGATTCTCATGAAATGTAAGTTTGACCAAAAAAACTGAATATGTCCAATAAATGAAGTTATGAGACGTGCTGTGCCATGTACATGTCTTATTCTTTGATACTCTACATACTGTTTATATACTGTAATACTGTATAAATAACTAATACAATAGTACAATGCAAAACGTTATACCACTACTAGGCTGAATACTCTATTATAATTGGTTGAGAGGGTGTTGATTATTTTCATGTTAATACACTGCAAAAACTAATATGGTAATGAAGTGAAAAAAAGTTGGAAAAAAAGTGGCTCACACTATTCCATATCAATGTTTTCTGCAGATTATGCTAATGTTCTCTGTGCAGGAAACCACAGTGGGGCACACAAAACATGTTTGAAATATCTATCCATTTCAAAAAGACAAATCAACAAGTCTTTAGTGTGATGCCCCCTAGGCCCTGTCTATGGTTATGTGGCATGACACAGCTTGATGTACAGGCCCCATCTCGTAGGATATTATAATGTCATTAGCCCCATGGTAACCATTATCAGAGGCTGTGGTTAGTCTCTCTACAGAAAATCAAAGCCACAGGTACTGATGACAGAGCAGAAATATTTGTATTCAGTGTAAAAGGGATGCCACATACCCTATTCATATATAATCTTGAACACTCTCCATTGATTTTCTTCCCACTAGCTACCTGTCTTGACATATCTAGTCCCTCATCTCTATCCCATGAGATGGCTCCCCACTGCACTGAAAGTACAGTGCATTCGGACAGTGTTTGACATCAGAGTATCAATCAATCACGATAGAGACATCCATAATGATATGTCCCCATAAATGGATAATCATAGCCATTTTCTTGGAGGGTATCCAAAGCAATCCATCCAAACATATATTAATGTGTGATAAATGTATTGTACAGTACTGTAGGTTTGGGGACTGCAATCAGGCCGGATGAATAAAAAAAAACTGTCTGAATTAAAACCCATAAGAGTCTAAACTCTGTCTAAGCCAGGGGAGGGGGGGAATACTACTAAGCTACAGTGCATTCGGAAAGTATTAAGACCCCTTGACTTTTTCCACATTTTGTTACGTTACAGCCTTATTCTAAAATTGATTGAATGGTTTTTTTTCTCATCAATCTACACACAATACCTCATAATGACAAAGCAAAAACAGGGTTTTAGAAAATTTTGCAAATGTATTACAAAAAAAAATTGATATCACTTTTACATAAGTATTCAGACCCTTTACTCAGTACTTTGTTGAAACACCTTTGGCAGCGATTACAGCCTTGAGTATTCTTGGGTATGAAGCTACAAGCTTGGCACACCTGTATTTGGGGAGTTTCTACCATTCTTCTCTGCAGATACTCTCAAGCTCTGTAAGGTTGGATGGGGAGCGTCGCTGCACAGCTATTTTCAGGTCGCTCCAGAGATGTTAGATCGGGTTCAAGTCCGGGCTCTGGCTGGGCCACTCAAGAACATTCAGAGACTTGTCCAGAAGCCACTTCTGCGTTGTCTTGGCTGTGTGCTTAGGGTCATTGTCCTGTTGGAAGGTGAACCTTTGCCCCAGTCTGAGGTCCTGAGCGCTCTGGAGCAGGTTTTCATCAAGGATCTCTCTGTACTTTGCTCTGTTCATCTTTCCCTCAATCCTGACTAGTTTCCCAGTCCCTGCTGCTGAAGAACATCCACACAGCATGATGCTGCCACTACCATGCTTCACTGTAGGGATGGTGCCAGGTTTCCTCCAGATGTGACGCTTGGCATTCAGGCCAAAGAGTTCAATCTTGGTTTCATCAGACCAGAGAATCTTGTTTCTCATGGTCTGAGAGTCCTTTAGGTGCCTTATGGCAAACTCCAAGCAGGCTGTCATGTGCCTTTTACTGAGGAGTGGCTTCCGTCTGGCCACTCTACCATAAAGACCTGATTGGTGGAGTGCTGCAGAGATGTTTGTCCTTCTGTAAGGTTCTCCCATCTCCACAGAGGAACTCTGGAGCTTTGTCAGAGTGACCATCAGGTTCTTGGTCACCTCCCTGACCAAGGCCCTTCTCCCCCGATTGTTCAGTTTGGCCAGGCGGCCAGCTCTAGGAAGAGTCTTGGTGGTTCCAAACTTCTTCCATTTAAGAATGATGGAGGCCAGTGTGTTCTTGGGGACCTTTAATGCTACATACATTTTTTGGTACCCTTCCCCAAATCTGTGCCTTGACACAGTCCTGTCTTGGGGCTCTACGGACAATTCCTTTGACCTCATGACTTGGTATTTGCTCTGACATGCACTGTCAACTGTGGGACCTTATGTAAACAGGTGTGTGCCTTTCCAAATCATGTCCAATCAATTGAATTTACCACAGGTGGACTCCAATCTTGTTGTAGAAACATCTCAAGGATGATCAATGGAAACAAGATGCACCTGAGCTCAATTTCGAGTCTCATAGCAAATGGTCTGAATAATTATGTAAATAAGTTTTTTCTGTTTTTTAGTTGTAATAAATTTGAAAAAATGTCTAAAAATCTGTTTTTGCTTTGTCATTATGGGCTATGGTGTGTAGATTGATGAGGAAATGTTTTTATTTAATCTATTTTCGAATAAGGCTGTAATGTAACCAAATGTGGAAAAGGGGAAGGGGTCTGAATACTTTCTGAATGCACTGTATACCCTGGCTGTCTGGCCTAATATCGCCAACAATAGCAAATAATACAGCTATAGTAGCTTTCAGACACAGAACCGCAATTTGTGCTGGTAAGATAGCATGGCACTTACAAGATGCTTTTTAAAAATCCAAATTGATTTACAGTACTATGAGTGCATACACTTTTAGAACGTCTATGTCATCCCTGTGGGACTTAAACCCACAACCTTGTCGTTGTTGTTTATTTCTGACCAAGTGATGTGCTTTTGTATACCTTGTCTAAATAAAAAAAATAAAAAAAAATAGTTTCCTACAACCAGCATCCAGCCCCTGGCCCTGTGTCACAATTTAAGGAGGTCCCCAGGGCCCCAATTCAAACAGCACCCTGAGTCTTCAAAATCCTGTTCTTCAGATGCTATATCACCTTCAATGACCCCAATACCAACCATACGTGTACTATCTCCAGTCACTGTCAATCTGAATGTCCTCCCCTCCATCCGTGATGATGACACAGTCAGGCCCCCACAGT